AAATTTGTCTGAAATTCTAGTCAAATTTTCAATGTCGATATTTCGACCCCAAATTTTGGCAAAATGTTTCCCATAGTTTTCTCCAGTTTTCCCCAAAGTTTCAGCCAGATTGGAACACTTTCCGAGTTTTCGCGGAGTTTTTTCCTTTTTTGCCGACTCCCTGAATAACCCCATAACTATTACCTTTGAGCCAATTTCTCTCACCTCAGGTGAAAAATATCAAAAGGTTGTCAACTGATAAATCGTTTATCATATTATCAGAAATGTTATGTCCGTTGTCACATTTTTGATATCTCGCATAGGAATTGAGATTGATGAGCTCAAACTTGACAGTATGCGGCTCTTCTATTACAGGTTTTACGGTAGTCGGACAGGAAATGTCAGGTAGAAATTGAATTTGAAGTTAAAAATGAAAAAAAAATGCAACAGATAAAGTTAGGAAAAAACAACAGTTTCTGGAATTTTCAGAAATTTCAAATTACCCATACTTTAATTTTTCTGTAAATTCAAGTTTTACTAGGTTTTTCAAAAAACAACTTTAAAAAATCTCCTCTCTCACGTTCTTCAACATTTTTTTTGAATTTCCAGAAACTTCTCCTCTGTGGTCCTCTTGTGTCACATCATCTGCCCAATTCTGATGCCACCGATTCCCGGATATTTCATGACTGGTTTCCTAGACGACCTGGACGCGAATATTGCACTTCCGCTGGTTTTAATGACACATGTCGTGCTCTGTTAGTCTATTTTTATCTTCTTTTTCTTTTTCTTTTTAGCATTTGTCCTAGCCCCACAGACTTGAATGTCAGTAGACTCTATTACGCTATTCTACTCTTGTTTAATTTCAAAAAACCAAATTTCAGTGGTCGCGTTCTCCATTTTACGTCTGTTCAAACATCAACTCATCACTTTGTCCGATTTGAGATACACCAAAAAATTCGAGCTCCCTGTGAAAATTCTAAAATGGGCATATCGTTTCTGTTATCTAATGATGCTCATTGTAGCTGTTTCAATCCTTCCCACACTTTCTATTGAATTGGAATCAACTGGGTTTCGTCAGGAAGCTTATCAGGTTACTCAATGTTTTCGGCCGACCGCGGTCGGCTCAGGCTAGTCGCGCCGCGGCGGCTCGTGATTTCATACAGCCTTGAGTACGTACCGTAACTCCTTAATTTTCAATTTTTTCAGTACTTCAACAAAACCGTATGCTTTTGTCCGGAAATGTTCATAGCGGATCCGAGAAAATGGGAAATTTACATTCCGTATTACCTATCTGTAATCTTTGGGGGTTTATGCACACTTACCGGAATAAGTAGTGTCATAACTTGCCTTTGGATGATGTTTGATTCCCGGAAAATTGTGTCTAGAGACACTCTGGTTATGCAAAGAAATTTCACATTTATTCTTGTTTATCAGGTATATAACACTTATAAAATAAGGCGTCATACTTTTTTGCAGGCTTTTATATGCATTGTTTTTGTCATCTTTCCACTTGCATCGGTTTCCACACTGTTCTACACGAAAATTTTTATTTCAGGTTGTGAAGGACCATGAAATTGAAATGTGTCAATTTCATATTACAGAACACGGACTATATTATCTGCTGCTAATTTCCAGTCAGGGAGCAGTCAATAATTTCACGCACATCGTCCCTGGATTGTGGAGAAAGTTACGAAAAAAAGTCGTGGTACCAACGGATTCAAGAAACAGCCGGAAAGGAAGTTCAATGTGGTCCACAAGCACGCATTTGACTGCTTCGATTAGTTAAATTTGTTCATTTAGATATTTCTGATTAGAATAAAATGTAATACGGACTTTAATTACTATCACATAGAATGGAAAAACCAGAATGAGAAGAGCAAACATTGATACGACAGAGTAAGAAAAAATAGTAGATGAAATTCCTACTGTATTGAAATCGTTCATTTTTGAGAGTTCAGTCCTCTTCAAATTTCAAATGAAGTTTTCTTACTGCAAGAAAATTTTGAATGCCTTTCGGTGAGCTCTTTCGACAAATCATCTGCCTTTTTTTGCTTTGTACGTTTCATATAACGTATCACTTAACCATGTATAGAACAGGTGAAATCATGATTGATCGTTGATTGGATAGCATTATATTACAGATTGCACAAAAACAAAAAATCACTCATTCAGAATTGAAAAAATCAAACTCTGCTAGTCGTCATATCTGCCTGATGCGTTGAATGTACTCTAGAACTTCGTAGCGATGGCATCCAATTTGTAGATCTGATTTTATCAAACTTCATAAGATTGCGAATAACTCCCACGTTTTTACTGTTACATAGTAGATATGAAACTTGTATTAAACTTGGTGTCGATATCAAATCCATGAATAAAAAAAGAAGAATATAGTTTTCAAGTGTATAATTTCCAGTTTCCAAAAAGCATACCGCCCAGGTATGTGACTGAAAAAGCTTCGTATTTGAAGTATTGAAAGGTCCCAATACTCACCAGTTTAAATAAAACAATTGTCAACGTTTGATAGAAAATGTACTTGAGGTTTTCATGGTGGTTCGAAGAGCTAATACTCGTGAGCCTTCTAATTTTCAAAACCATCGGTACATATAAAAACGAAGATAATAAAAGTACAAAGTTCAGAAACCCGTAGAAAATCTAAAATATGCGAATTATGAATTCACAAAAAGGGTGCCAATCAATCAAGAACTTTACCATGTAAGTCAAGAACATGATATCCCTCGATGTGAATTCCCGTATATACCAAATTACAAAAAGTATATGAAGGATGTAAAACAACAGATAAATCTTTACAGCATTCAGCTCAATATACTTTCCAGTGTTCCTAGAGCGTTCTTTCTGATAAAAGAATATGTAAAATCGTTGAAAAGACAAAAGAATAATTAAAAAATTATGAGCTTGTACGAAAATTGCCATAAGGGAAAGAGTTCCAATTATTGAGGTAAGTTGTAGAGTTTCTATATACCTGTAATTGTTTTTTGAACCTTTACAACTTAAAAAAAAAGGTACCCTATATCAGGATAAGCGTAGCAACGATAAATCACATATATTATAAAGATGAAAAGAATTGAATAGAAAAAACGGATAGCCTTATAGAAATGACTGATGATTGGGTATACAGTTAGCAATTTGTCTTTTTTCCGATTCGCTCTAATTACAACCACGTAGAATGGGAAAATCAGAATGAGAAGAGCAAACATTGAGACGACAGAGTAAATAAGAATAACGGACGAAATTCCAAATGAATCGATGGAATCAGAAGTTTCTGTATCGTTCATTTTTGAGAGGTCTTACTGAAATAAGATTTTAAGAATTGCTCGTTGAGCTTTTTGAGGTAGAATTGTGTTGTTTTGAGTACTCGAAGATCAAAATCATCTGCTGATTTTTTTTTTGCTGGGCACGTTTCATAGAAAGTAACTCTTGACAATGTAAAGAACAGGTGAAATTGAGCACACATGTTTATTGAATGATTTGAATTTGATCAAATCATTGATCGTTGATTGGATAGAATCATGGTATAAACTACCGTATTTCCTCTATAGAATTCCATGGGCTTTTATTTTTCTTCTTTGTTCTCACAAGGGAAGTACCCGAAGTGTCCTCTCGCTTTTTCTTAGATATTGGTGGCAAAAAATGTCCCTTCCCCGGACTAGCACAAAACGGATAATATAAGCGGCCCATGCGCAATTATAGCAGAATGGCAAAACTTTTTATAATTTTTCAGAAAAAGTGGGTCAAGTCTATTCGAAAAGTCATAACTTTGTACAGACAGCAGATAAAGTTTCAAACTAAACTGCATCTTATAGAACTAGGTTGAGGCTACGAAAAACTTAATTTCACCTTTATTCTATCTCTGCAAAGAAGTTTACTAGGGTGGGAAATGTCCGAATGGTCCGACTGTGTGAAATCAAAAAATGTCGATTTTCGAAAAAAACACCTTCGGGAGACTATGTCCGTCCGATTCCTTTCACGTCATAATGCATAACTATTCAAATATATAGCTCACCGTTCATTTACGAGAGATTTTTGAAAAACTAATTTTTCTAAAGTCAATTCCATGTACCCATATACATTGTATTTTTAAACATGCGAAAATGTTTTTTTCGAAATTTTTGACTTTGTAACCACGATTTGATCATTTTCTATCAATAAAAAACTGAACCAACTGAATCCTTCATTCTCAGAGCTTTTATGTTGTATGTGGAAAAATGAGTTCAAAAAATACCATGTACAGTACTGGCCAAAAAGGTATTCGCAAACGATTTTTTGAGAGTAACTTTGCTGAAACTTAAGGGATCGATCTGAAAATTTTACTGTGCATGTCGTACACGGTGACGACAAATTGCGTACAAGGAAATTGCATCATTTTCAGAAATTTTTTGTTTTTTTCAATTTTTTCGTTTTTTCACTTTTTTCATATTTTTATATTTTTGGATATTATGGTTTCTAAGAATGTTGGTTTTGGCTCCTATGTATTTAAAACTGTTTACAGACATGGCCAGACCCCTCGGAAAAAAAAACATCTCTCAGGACATCCGTAAAGCCATCGTCATCGGCTTCAGAAGTGGATGTTCCAAGGACCTCTTGGCGCAGCAGTTCAATGTTACTAAACGTGCCATCGAGAAGATCTTGAAGCAGTTTCGGGATGAGGTAATATTCGAAAATAGTATAGTTATGGAAAAAAAATGTTTAGGGAGCCTTGGTGGA